AATATTGAGCTAGAAGAAAGGAAAGCTTTGGCCTCTCACTCTGAAGCAAGGCAGCTGAAGTAGAACCTTCCACAAGGCAAACTTCAAGAAACCCTGGTCTCACAGTTCCCAGGAGAGGACTAAGAAAAAGAAACGGCATCTATAGCTTTGGCTTCTGTAGGTAAAAGACTCTAGAGCACTGTTGTAAAGTGGACGAGTCTGGAGATAGAATCTAGAGGTTCTGTGAACTTGGATGGGAAAAATGTACATATTAACTTTCATTAATGTCTCTGAAAATTGCCATTTCCTTCCAATATAAACACAAGAACAGATATTGGTAATATTAGCAGTACCTGTAATTTTCTCATCAATAGAAATTACATATATTTTCAAATCACAAACTCTACATCAAAATATAAATTGCAACCATTACTATATTGAAGATATATTGGTTATTAGATTTACTGATAGAAGTTGCTCCTTAATACATTGATAAAGAAGCACAGGTGTTACTATGCACAGATTCATATTTCTTTTTCTTTTTTAGATGGAGTTTCGCTCTTGTTGCCCAGGCTGGAGTGCAATATCTCAGCTCACTGCAACCTCCGCCTCCTGGGTTCAAGCGATTCTCCTGCCTCAGCCTCCCAAGTAGCTGGGATTACAGGCATGTGCACCATGCCTGGCTAATTTTTTGTGTTTTTTTAGTAGAGACAGGGTTTCACCATGTTGGCCAGGATGGTCTCCATCTCTTGACCTCGTGATCCACCCACCTTGGCCTCCCAAAGTACTGGGATTGCAGGCGTGAGCCACTGTGCCCGGCCTTGTATTTCTTTTACTCCCTTTCTCCTCTCCTTTTCCTATCCTTTCCTTTCTCTCTCTTTTTTTCTTTCCTTCCTTTCTTTCTTTTTTTTTTTTAGATGGGGTCTCACTCTGTCACAGGGGCTGGAGTGCAGTGCAGTGGCACAATCTCGGCTAACTGCAACCTCTGCCTCTCAGATTCAAGCAATTCTACTGCCTCAGCCTCCTGAATAGCTGAGATTATAGGCATCTGCTACCACGCTCAGCTAATTTTTTCTATTTTTAGTAGAGGTGGAGTTTCACTATGTTGGCCAGGCTGGTCTTGAATGCCTGACCTCGTGATCCAGCTGCCTCAGTTTCCCAAAGTGCTGGGATTACAGGTGTGAGCCACTCTTTTCCCTTCCCTTCTCTTCTCCCTTCCCTTCTCCCTTCTACCTTGTCTTCTTTCCTTCCCTCCCCTTCCCTTCCCTTCTATTTCAGACAGGGGCTCTCTCTGTCACCCAGGCTGGAGTGCGGTGAGGCAATCTCGGCTTACTGCAACCTCCAACAGCCCCGCCCACTGCCAGCTCAAGCAATCCTCCTGCCTCAGGCTTCCAAGTAGCTGGGTCTACAGGTGTGCGCCACCACATCTGGCTTTTTTTTTTTAAGATGGAGTGTTACTCTCGTCACCCAGGATGGAGTGCAATGGTGTGATCTCAGCTCACTGCCCCCTCTATATCCTGGGTTCAAGTGTCACTGCCCCCTCTATATTCTGGGTTCAAGTGTCACTGCCCCCTCTATATTCTGGGTTCAAGTGATTCTCCTATCTCAGCCTTCCAGGTATGTAGGATTACAGGTTCCATCACCATGCAAGGCTAGTTTTGTATTTTAATAGAGATGGGGTTTCACCATGTTGGCCAGGCTGGTCTCGAACTCCTTACCTCAGATGATCTTCCTGTCTTGGCCTCCCAAAGTGCTGGGATTACAGGTGTGAGCCACTGTGCTCAGCTAATTTTTAAAATTATATAGAGATATGGATTCACCATGTTGCCCAGACTGATCTTGAGCTCCTGGGCTCAGGTGATCCACCACCTCGGCCTCCCAAAGTGCTGGGATTATAGGCATGAGCTACCGTGCCTGGCCCAGATTTGTTTTCATACATTTTTATAATAGCCATTCGTGTATATAATTTGTTCTTTTTGGGGCCCTATGTATTTTATCTTACACACTTAAGGACATTTTTTCTTTTCTTTTTTTTTTTTTTTTTTTTTTTGAGACAGAGTTTTGCTGTTGTTACCCAGACTGGAGTGCAATGGCACGATCTCGGCTCACTGCAACCTCTGCCTTCTGGGTTCAAACAATTCTCCTGCCTCAGCCTCCCAAGTAGCTGGGACTACAGGTGCACACCACCATGCCCAGATAATTTTTTGTATTTTCAGTAGAGATGGGGTTTCACCTTGTTGACCAGGATGGTCTTGATCTCTTGACCTCGTGATCCACCTCCCTCAGCCTCCCAAAGTGGTGGGATTATAGGTGGGAGCCACCACACCCGGCCTTTCTTTTCTTTTCTTTTCTTTTTTTGAGACAGAGTCTTGCTCTATCGCCCAGGCTGGAGTGCAGTGGCTTAATGTTGGCTCACTGCAACCTCTGCCTCCCTGGTTTAAGCAATTCTCCTGCCTCAACTTCCCAAGTAGCTAGGACTATAGGCACATGCCACCACACCTAGCTAACTTTTGTATTTTTAATAGAGACAAGATTTCACCATATTGGCCAGGCTGATCTCGAACTCCTGACCTTGTGATCCACCTGCCTTGGCCTCCCAAAGTGCTGGGATTACAGGCATAAGCCACTGTGCCCGGCCAAGGACATTTTCCTGAGAAAGATGACTGGGCTTCTTAAGACTGTCAAATATTTATTTATTTGACAGCAAATAACTTTTTTATTAATAAATATAAATATTTATTTGCTGCCAAATAAAAGGTTAAGGGCATCTCTACGGCTGTATTCTTAGAGACTCAGGACCTGCCTCTGTGCTTCACCCTGAGCCTTGACTTGTCTGTTTCTTTCAGCCTCCATTCGTTTGGCGACTACCAGGGCTCTCCTTCTGACCAGTCTGTTTTAACTGAGGACTTCTTTGGTCCTAAATTGACTTCTCATCTTTCTGAGGCTGCCTCTTCATTTACCTCCTCTGCTCCAGCAGTGCAGCTCAAGGGTGGTGGTCCTGCTCTGGTACCTGGTCCAGGCAATGACCCACAGTGCCATGACTTCAGGACTGTCATACGCCAGCCAGAAGGTATGTCAGCCACCCAGGGCTACAAGGCTATCCAAGAAGCTGATTGCCCTTAGAAAAACAGTTAGTAGCATCAGGCCAGGTGCGGTGGCTCATGCCTGTAATCTGAACAATTTGGGAGGCCAAAGTGGGCAGATCACTTGAGGTCAGGAGTTCAAAACCAGCCTGGCCAACATGGTGAAACCCTGTCTCTACCAAAAAAAAGTGCACAAAAAAATCAGCCAGGTGTGGTGGCGAGTGCATGTAATCCTAGCTACTTGGGAGGCTGAGGCAGGAGAATCGCTTGAACCTGGGAGGCGGAAGTTGTAGTAAGCCAAGATTGCGCCACTGCACTCCAGCTTGCAGGACAGAGCGAGAGTGAGACTCTGTCTCCAAACAAACAAATAAGCAAAAAAAAAAAAAAAAAAAAAAAAAGAAAAAGAAAGAAAGAAAAGAAAAACAGCTAATCAGTAGTACAGAATGAGAATTCCTGCAGTTCCATGTCCTGTTTGTGCCTCCTGAAGGGTTGGCCCTACTTCTGTGGCTTCCCTGACCACATCATTTCATATTTTGGCGTCTGGCTGATGACCTGCATTTGTAGTGCCACATATGGCCTTCTAGGTTGAAGAGGCCCACGCTTCCGTTGCTCACTTAACCCCATCAGTGACCATATGGAACATATCCACCTCTCGCAGCGCATCCCTGCAAAGCCCGTCTGCCAGTTCACAGTAATTAGGTTTGCCACTCCCTCGGTTTTCCTTAGCACTCCCATTCTGGCACCTGCTCAACATTTGGAGGAATTCCACCCTCCCATAAGACCAGAAGGATACCTTCAGGTGGCGGGAAGGAACCGCTTTTAAATCTCCAACCAACACACCGCATTTGTAGGAGAGGTCAACCCAGAGAGACCCCTGTGCAGCTCAGGCCCTGCACTCCCCGCGTGTCACTGGCACATTCTGGCCTCTAGAGGGATCTCCAAGAACAAGGAAGAGAAGGAGGAGCAGCTCCGTGCTGTCACAGAATGGGGGTCCAGGAGCTTAAATCACAGCTGTCCTACAGAAGGGGGCTCATGCCTTGACAGCATCCCTAAATGCAGTGATGTCCTTTGGTATCTTTTTGGCAAGCATGTCCTACTTGATTTACCCTACCTGGTCTGTTTTTCCACTGGTCTCTGCCCTCTGGCAACATTCATCTATGCACCTGGCCTCACCATCAGTGCCCACGCCCTCCCTTAATGAAGACTCCAGAGTTTGGCCGGGCATAGTGGCTCTCACTTGTAATCCCAGCACTTTGGGAGGCTCAAACGGGTGGATCGCCTGAGGTAGGAGTTCGCGACCAGCCTGGCCAACATGGTGAAATCCCAGTTACTTGAAAGGCTAAGGAAGAAGAATCACTTGAACCTGGGGGACGGAGTTTGCAGTGAGCCAAGATTGTGCCATTGCACTCCAGCCTAGGTGACAAAGCGAGACTCCATCTTAAAAAAAAAAAAAAAAAAAAAAAGGCCAGGCATAGTGGCTCATGCCTGTAATCCCAGCACAGTTTGAGACCAGCCTGGCCAAAATGGCGAAACCTGATCTCTACTAAAATAAATAATTCCGTGCCTATAGTCCCAGCTATTCGGGAGGCTGAGGCTGGAGAATCGCTTGAAGCTTGGGAGGTCATGGTGAGCCAAGATCACGCCACTGCACTCCAGCCTGGGTGACAGAGTGAGACTCTGTCCCAAAAAAACAAACAAAAAATAGGCCACGCATTCACACATTATAAATGTGTGTACATGGCAAAGTCCTCTCACTCCTGTCCCTTGCTTCCTCACTTCTCCCTGAAGGAAACCGACCTTCCCACTGCCAGTGTGTCATTCCCAAGGTTGCCTATGTGTTTACAAGCAAATCTGTGTATTTATATATGGTCCCCTTTTAGCACATTATATATGCTGTTCTGCACGTGTTTCCAACAATACTTTATTTATTTATTCAGAGCATCTCACAGATCCATTTATTCATGCCACGAAGTAAACAGTACTCATACAAGTGTACAGTGATGTTCCACGCGCCCCATCTAACATGGCTTGCTCAACTTTACAGGCAGACTGACGTTTTCCTTCACATGCACTCCAAGGAAGCTGGTTAATGATCACGAGCAGGTGCTGCAGCTTTCACAGCCTTATTTCTTTTATTGGCGGTATGGAGTTTATAAACAATGAAGCCCATCAACCCCATTCCTACCCAAATCTCCTGGTAAACTTGGGTATAGTAGGGCTTCAAGGGAATCCACATATTTTTAATAATACTTTGAAGCATCTAAAATATGGAACGCTTCACGAATTTGCATGTCATCCTTGCACAGGGGCCATGCTAATCTTCTCTGTATCGTTCCAATTTAGTATATGTGTTGCCGAAGCGAGCACTCCAGCAATACTTTAAAAGCATGTAACTGGAATGAGGGTCTAATTCCAGGCAGCTGATGAGTATGATAGCAAGGTAAGGGTGTGCAGATGAGAGCAGCAATTAACCAGAGCCAATAGAAACTGCAGAAAGAAAACACCTCAAAGAGTTGCCGAGAGCTAAATTAATTGAGTGAGGCTGGAATTGTAAAAGGAATTTTTAAAAAAGGCCTGGAAAAAAAAAAAAGGCCTGGAACACATTACTGTTGATGACTTCGTGGCTGAAATCACTCCAAAAGGCAGAGCCCTGCTACCTGACAGTGTAAAGAAGGAGCTCCCGGCCAGGCACAGTGGCTCATGCCTGTGATTTCAGCACTTTGGGAGGCCGAGGTAAGTGGATGGCTTGAGCTCACAAGATCAAGATCAGCCTGAGCAGCATGGCAAAACCTCATCTCTCAAAAAAGAAAAAATTAGCTTGACATGGTGGCACATGCTTGTAGTTCCATCTACTTGGGAGGCTGAGATAGGAGGATCACTTGAGCCCAAGAGTTTGAGGCTGCATTGAGCTATGATCACTGCACTCCAGCCTGGGTGACAGACCAAGACCCTGTCTCAAACACACACACACACACACACACACACACACACACACACACAAAGACAACTGTGGTTTTGACTGCTGCTAGTTAGTTTCCAGAGTGTCAGAGGCCAAGTACAGGCCAAACCCCATTAGAAACAGGGTCCTCTTGCTGGTCCAAGTGCAGTGGTGTTTACAACCAATTGACCACAGCCAGTTACAGATTTCTTTGTTCCTTCTCCACTCCCATTGTTTCACTTGACTAGCCAAAAAAAAGAAAAAAAGATAAAGAAATAGGGTCAGCATTATCGTAGTGAACAATAAGCACAGAAGTAATCAGAATGGCTTTACTCAAGATACTCTCCCTAATGTCTCACTGATTGTGATGTCCCTAGGTATAAAACATATGGGAACTGCACTAAAATCTTACTAGATTTTTTTTTTTTGAGACGTAGTCTTGCTCCATATGGAGTGCAGTGTAGCTTGATCTTGGCCCATTGCAACCTCTGCCTCCTGGGTTCAAGCGACTCTCCTGTCTTAGCCTCCCAAGTAGCTGGGACTATAGGGGCGCACCACCACACCTGGCTAAATTTTGTATTTTTAGTAGAGACAGGGTTTCATCATGTTGGCCAGGTTGGTCTTGAACTTCTGACTTCAGATGACACTCCTGCCTCAGCCTCCCAAAGGGCTGGGATCACAGGTATGAGCCACCATGCTCGCCCTACTTGATATTAATAAGTACAAATGTTCTTCCCCCTGCCCCATACAGGGTCTTGCTCTGTCACCCAGGCTGCAGTCCAGTAGCATGATCTTGGAACCTCTGCCTCCTGGGCCTCAAGCCATCCTCCTGCCTCAGTCCCCAGAGCAGATGGAATAACAGGCATGTGCTGCCACACTTAGTGAATTTTTCTATTTTTTCACTAGAGACAGGGTTTTGCTGTGTTGCCCAGGCTGGTCTCTAGCTCTTGAGCTCAAGCGAGCCACCCAACTTGGCCTCCTAGAAGGCTTAGATTACAGGCGGGAGCCACCACAGATGGCCTAATAAGTGCAAATGTTATAATTATGGAGTCCCCAGACTTGATTTGAACCACCGCATTGTAGGGTCATTATCCCTCATCCAATTCTCACACCTGAGCCAGTTTATAGACCTATAGTTGCTTAAATAAAGAGGAAGAAAAGCCTGGGAGGAATAAGCCTGCAGCATGGCCACACAGACAAATGATGCTCTTCCTCCTTGCCTTGTCATGGGGGATCTGTGGCCATTTACTATAGAGATTGTGTGTTGTAGAAAGGAAAATATCCAGAATTGTCAAGGGTTGCTGGATGCTGTCTCTCTCTCTCTTTTTCTTTTTTAAAGATGGGGTTTCACCATGTTGGCCAGGCTGGTCTCAAACTCCTGACCTCAGGTGATCTGCCCACCTTGGCCTTCCAAAGTGCTGGGATTATAAGCTTGAGCCACCACACCCAGCCTGGATGCTGTCTCTTAATTAATGCTATCTCCCGAGGAATCTGTGTGTGGTTGGCTGAATAATATTCTCCAAAATGTAGTCCACTTCCTAATCCCTGAATAGAAACTGGGAATAGGTGGCTTGGCAGATGTCACTAAGCTAAGAATCTTAGATGGGGAATTTATTCTGGATTATCCATATGGAGCCAACACGATCGCAGAGGTCCTCATGAGAGGGAGTCGGAAAGGTTAGAGAGCGAGAAGGATGTGTGAGGACAAAGGAGAGATTGGAGCATGTGGGGCCACCATCCAAGCGATGCAGACAACCTCTAGAAGCAGGAAACAGCAAGAAAACAGACTCTCCCCTCGATGCTCCAAAAATAATGCAACTGGCCAACCCACTTCAAACTCCTGACCTCCAAAACTGTAAAACTCTGAATTCTAGTTGTTTCCTAAAATGGTCATAGGCGCTGTGCACGTTGACTCACACCTGTAATTCCAGCATTGTGGGAGGCCAAGGTGGGACGGCTGCTTGAGCCCAGAGGTTCAAGACCAGTCTGGGAAACATAATGAGACTTCATCTCTTAAAAAACAAACAAAACAAAACAAAACAAAACAAAACAAAAAAACAGCTGGGTGCACCTGGCTAATAAAAAATTAGTACCCGGCAGTGAAACCCTGTCTCTACTAAAATACAAAAATTAGTTGGGTGTGGTGGTGCGCACCTGTATTCCCAGCTACTTGGGAGGCTGAGGCAGGAGAATTGCTTGAAGCCGGGAGGCGGAGATTGCGGTGAGCTGAGATTGTGCCACTGCACTCCAGCCTGGTGCCTGGTGAAAGAGCAAGACTCTGTCTAAAAAAAAAAAAAATTAGTACCTGGTATGTGCCTGTAGTCCCAGCTACTCAGGAGGCTGAGGCAGGAAGGTCACTTGAGCCTGGGAGGGAGAAGTTGCAGTGAGCAATAGATTGTACAGCTACGCTTCAGCCTGAGTGACAGAGCAAGACCCTGTCTCAGAAAGAAAGAAAAGAAACAGCTGTATATGCAAATTGACCCACAAAATGCAGAAGGAGCCAAGAAGCCAAGAAGGAAGACAAATCCAGTTTGTTGGTCAAAGGTGATTTATCGGGGAACATGTGAACAGAAGTGTAGTCTTGGGTGGCAGCAGGACAGGTAGATTTCTGCAGTTACTCTCCAGACCTAAGGGAAAGGATACATGTGCTCTACAGGAAATGTGCAAGACAGGCCGGACGCAGTGGCTCACGTCTGTAATCCCAGCACTTTGGGAGGCCAAGGGTGGGTGGATCACCTGAGGTCAGGAGTTCAAGACCAGCCTGGTCAACATGGTCAAAACTGGTTTCTACTAAAATAAAAAATAAAAAGATTAGCTGGATATGGTGGCGTGTGCCTGTAGTCCCAGCTACTTGGGAGGCTGAGGCAAGAGAATTGCTTGAACCCAGGAGGTGGAGGTTACAGTGAGCCGAGATCATGCCACTGTACTCCAGCCTGGGTGACAGAGTGAGACTCCATCTAAAAAAGAAAAAAAATGTGCAGGACAATTGAAGGCAACCTTCCAAGGAGAGTATATGCGTCATAGCCTGTAATTTGTCTGATAACACCAATGTTAACATGTTCTTACACTAAGGACAGTAAATAAAGTGGAAATCCGGGAGGCATTCCCAGGATGTCGGTTGATCAGAAGTCAACATGGCAGATTAGTGTCCAAGATGGAGTCACCATTGTCTCCACACTAGTCAAAGTGGGACTTTTGAAGTCATGATAAAGGAGTTATTGTCTAAGTTCATCCCATGGTAAGTCTGGTGGTCTGTGAATTCACTCTGTACTTTTTCTCTACGCTTAATAACTGGTAAAATACCCACACTGGCTCTCTAACCTATGGAATGAGAGCTGCTATTATGGTGGGAAATGTCAAGTGGAAGCCCTGAAATTGCTCCCACACCCCTTCAAAAACAATATAGCATATTTTGGGAAATTTCAGAGATGAATGTCACCATTAAATAACACTAAGGGCCGGGTGCAGTGGCTCACTCCTCTAAACCCACCACTTGGTGAAACCCCATCTCACTAAAAATACCAAAAAATTAGCTGGGCATGGTGGCATGTGCCTGTAATCCCAGCCACTTGGGAGGCTGAGGCAGGATAATCACTTGAACCCGGGAGGTGGAGGTTGCAGAGAGCCTGGATCGTACCATTGCACTCCAGCCTGGGTAAGATGAGTGAAAATCCATTAAAAAAAAAAAATGTGGAGTTAGCGATTCCCACTTAATTTGGCTATTCTGTGGGAAAAAAGTGATTTTGAATGAGGACAATGGATTATTGTAAACTTAAATTCCAATTGTATCTGATTTTTTGTTTTTTTTTGAGACGGAGTCTTGCTCTGTTACCCCAGGCTGGAATGCATTGGCTTGATCTTGGCTCACTGTAACCTCCGCCTCCTGGGTTCAAGTGATTCTCCTGCCTCAGACTCCTGAGTAGCTGGGATTACAGGTGCATGTCCTCATGCCTGGCTATTTTTTGTATTTTTAGCACAGACAGAGTTTCACCCTATTGGCCTGCTCTCGAACTCCTAACCTCAGGTGATCTGCCTGACTCAGCCTTCCAAAGTGCTGGGATTACAAGCGTGAGCCACCATGCCCTGCTTTTATCTGATTTTCTAATGTTGCCTTTTTTTTTCAATATCAGATCTCTGGCCAGGTGTGGTGGTTTATACCTGTAATGCCAGGACTTTGGGAGGCTGAGGGTCTCTCTCTGTCACCAAGGCTGGAGTGCAGTGGCACAATCATGGCTCACTGCAGTTTTGACCTCCTGGGCTCAAGCTATCCTCCCACCTCAACCTCCTGAGTAGCCGACTACATGTGTGTGTCACTATGCCTAGTTAATTTTTTTTCTTTTTTGAGACAGAGTATCGCTCTGTTGCCCAGGCTGGAGTGCAGTGACATGATCTCGGCTCACTGCAACCTCCGCCTCCTGGGTTCAAATTATCCTTCCGCCTCAGCCTCCCTAATAGCTGGGACTATGGGCATGAGCCACCATGCCTGGCTAATTTTTGTATTTTTAGTAGAGATGGGGTTTCACCCTGTTGGCCACGATGGTCTCAAACTCCTGACCTCCAGTGATCTGCCTGCCTAGGCCTTCCAAAGTGCTAGGATTACAGGTGTGAGCCACCAGGCCCGACCAGTTTTTCTTTTGTCACATCCTCTGCTTATCCAACCCAACTGATTTTTTAATTAATTTTTTTGTAGAGATAAGGGTCTCACTATGTTGCCTAGGCTGGTCTTGAACTCCTGGTCTCAAGGGTCCCACCTGTCTTGGCTTCCCAAAGCACTGAGTTTATAGGTATAAGTCACTGTGCTGAGCCTAATATTACCTATTTACTGGAGCAAATTAATATGCCCCTTAGTACCTGGTTCAGAGCAATTGACTTGGCAAATACCTTTTTCTTTTTTTTCTTTTTTTTGAGACTGAGTCTTGCTCTGTTGCCCAGGCTAGAGTGCAGTGGCTCGATCTCGGGTAACTGCAACCTCTACCTCCTGGGTTCAAGAGATTATCCTGCTTTAGCCTCCTGAGTAGCTGGGATTACAGCCTGTGTCTCTGTGCCCGGCTAATTTTTGTATTTTTATTTATTTATTTATTTATTTATTGGCGACAAGGTCTCATTCTGTCACCCAGGCTGGAGTGGAGTGGTGCAATCTCAGCTCACTGCAACTTCTACTTCCTGGGTTCAAGTGATTCTCATGACTCAGCCTCCCAAGAAGCTGGGATTACGGTGCCCGCTACCATGCCTGGCTCA